CTCAGCTGAAAATTCCTCATTCCTAATGCCAGCATCAGGAGCCGGGCTTCCCACCGGCAGAGGAACACAGCTTCAGTGGTGCGAGCAGGGCAGAGGATAACTTATGATCCAGTTAGGGAAAAAAATGTCTTTCTAAATCAGAGCAGCCACAGGAAAAGAAAAATTAAAAATAATCAGGATTAGCTGTCCTATGTCCCCAGAAACGAGGCGGTGAGACTTTCACATAAACTGTCTTGTTTTCCATGGGAAGGTGGAAGCTATGGTTGGATTCAGGCCAGGGTAGCTGTAGAGAACTGAAGCTCCTATCTCACCAAGCTGAGGAGCAGTGTTGCTCCGCCAGATGAAAGGCTTCCATGTTATTTTCCACTGCTGGATGATGAATCCCTAGGGAGCACGGCAGGATTGTTTGTAACCACAACAAGTGACGGCATGCCGCTTTGGAGAAGTGAATCATCTTTCCAGGGTGACTCGTCCCCATGTATTTCCACTCACGCAGTGTCGGCCTCACGGCAATCCCCGGGGGACTGTGGGCATGGGAGAGCCCTGGGGCAGGGGGGTGCCCCATGAACCCAGCATGGCCCCACAGCCTACCTATGGGACCTGCTGTTGAGGAACACCTCCCCATGCCCTGAGCAGAGGGTGACTTTAATGACATACAGCTGCCAAATTCACTCCCCAGGGCAGGGATAAGGTCTCAGCTCACCCCGGTTTGCAAACAGCAGCTCTCAGCGAGCACAGGGGTAAATAACGCCTGTGGGCAGCCACGCCGGCTTCATTGCACAACCTGGGACAAAGGCGGGCAAAAATGCTCCTGACTTTCAAAACGTTACAAAGCAAGACCTACTTGCCTGTTAACAGCTCTAAATAATACTTTCTTAACTCTACTCAAAGTTAATGCATATATTACACACATTTTAATTACATCCTTAACCACTAACAATAAGGGTGTACTTACTGTCAGAAAAACCTCCTTATTTGGTGGCTGCAATATCTTTATGGAGGGGTGGCTTCAAAGCCTCGTCTAATCATCGTGCATCAAAGCCTTCATTTCAGATTACCACGTCCTCTCCTATGTCTCAGCTAAGTGGCCTCGTTCAAGAAACTGAAAACATGATGAGGCATTTTTCCTTGAACTGCTTTAGCAGGCAGGCTTTCACACTTTAAACCACTACTTGAATAATACTGACGCATGAACTTGTAAAAGAAAATCCTATGAGTCCTGTACCAGCAAAGGAATTATGCCCTGGCAGCAATTTATTAGGTAGAAAATGTACCTTCCAGAATGATAAATAAAGATTAGGTATCAAAGAAGACCCTATTGATTCAAAACATACCTCGTATCTTGCACACCACATGTTTTTACCCTCAGTTATGCTGAATTTCCAGAGGGTCACGCCAGGACACTTGTTGCTGTTACTTACATTGACACTGAAGTCACCTCCCAAATGACCGTATTTGGTCTGCAGCCCAGTGGTGAACTTTAGGAATACGAAATGGCCTGAGTGCTTTGCTACTTATTAACTTGAAATTCCAGGAGACTGAGATAAAATACTCTGCCCAAAGGTTGTGATAAAGTCACTGAGAGCCCAAAGGTCATTCCATTCACCCAAAGAAACCTACTTTTACAGTGACATTGGTGACTTTGGGGCTGGTCCTTCCTGCTTCTCCCACAGACCTCCCCTCGCCGCAGCGGATGTTGACAGAGCTGCAATTTGGGTAAAACCGATAAAAATTAAGAAACACCCAACACCTCAAAGCCTGGCACAGGGGAAGGGGAGCGCGTGGGCCCCTCGTACGGAAAACAGAGCTGTGGTGGCATCTGGGGAACACCAGCCTGGAGGTGCCGGTCCTCGCACTGCCCGCTGGCACCCCAACACCACCCTCTGCCCACACTGCCAGCGCTTCCCCAGAGCCACACGCTCCCCTTTGTGGGGGACAGGCTTATGGGGGTGCTGGAGGGGGCAGCAGGGACACCCTGACGGGCCAGAGCTCGGGCAGGCTGGGACAGCCTCTCCACCCTTTGCAGAAGGTGCACAGCAGCGCCGGTGTCCCCAGCACTGCCAAACCCCCAGTCAGCACGCAGCCACCACGTTTTGCCCGCGGGAGGAGAAATAAAGCTTCAGCATCATTTTCAGGTGACGAGCAAAGCGACTCCATGCCCCATGGGTGCTCCCCTTCCCTCACAGGGCACCCCGTGGGTCACGTTGCCCTTCAAGCCCAGAATAGGTTCCTCTGCCAGCAGAGAAGGGGATGTGGGCTTGCCTGTGGTCTCTCCCTGCAGCCTTCCCAGAGAGGCGCAGGAAACCTCAGAGATCCTCTCAGTCTATCTCTGCCAGCAAAAACAAAGCTGCGTGTGCCCCACGAGGAGGCCGGGGCTGCGGGTGGAAGGAAGCGGCTGCGCCTGAGGGGTGGGTGAGGAGGAGCTCACCATGGGACCCCTGCGCCCCCACTGTCCCATGGGGACCCTAAGCAGGCATTGGCATGGGGACACATCCCACCCCATCCATCCCTCAGCACCTCCCTGGGAGTGGGGAGATGATGGAGGGCTGAATCACTGCTTCAGAGGTAAGCAATGCACCAGCCACAGCCCCCAGCGCAGGCTGTCAGCAAAGCTCGGCTGAAGGACCTTCAGGAGGAACCACCAGGGCCTGGGCAGCACCTACTCTTGCTCAAGCTGACCCTGGCATTGCCTACAGCCTCATCACCTGCATCTTCTCCCCTGGGAGCAGGGAGAGGCTGAGGAGGGGCTTTATTTGGGAACGTCCTGCAGGTGCTGCTCAGCTGGAGGTGGTGGTCCTCACGCAGCATCATTCAGAGTAGGGACAAATACCCAATCCAGGTTGGTTTCACCAGCAGCTCCACCCCTCTTGTGCAAGACCAAGACAGCCCTGAACCAGCAGGTGATCGCCAGCCTGCCTCCAGCGGGTTTTGCGGCCTGATAAGGAGCGAAGAGAACATGCTCAGAAAGTGCAGTAAACAGAGAGATAAAGGGATGCAGAAAGGAGCGTGAGCTCCCCGCGTCCCCCCCTCGCAGGTCACCTCGCTGCTGCCTGTCCCTGCGGAGGGTGGCTCTGCCTGTCCTGCTGATAACGGCCAGGATGGAGGGGAAAGGGGAGGCTGATAAGAGAGCAGTCCTGGGGACAACACATGGCACTGACGAAGGCGGGTCCCTGTGGTTCAGGGTTAAAGACCTCATCGGCACCACAACAAACATTTGCTTTTTGATGCCAGGGTAGCCAAAGCAAGCCTGGTTTTGGGGTGAGCTCCAGGTTTTGATGACCCTGACCCCGAGGCTGCAGGCGCCATCACAAGCCCTTGGCTCACACTGCTCTTTTGGCAAGGTCAGGCGGGAGATTTACAACCCCTAAAGCTGTCGCTCTCCTCTCCCTCTTCATTTGTGTCCTCCAGAGCCTGTCCTGCCCAAGGCCGGCTCGTTAGAGACCCAGCGGAGAGAAAGCACCTACAGCCCCTATAACAGGAGGCAAGATGCCCGCTCCCCAAGCAGCTGTGTTCGTCAGCGAGCGTCGGGGCGGTACAGCAGCATGCCCCTCGTTAGCCGCAATTGCCCCAAATCCCCATCCAGCCAAAATGGATTTGCGGTGCCCATTCCCACACCCGCAGCACACACCCAGGAGAGCCGCAGCCGCCTCCCCGGCCAGACTGGGACCTCGCTGCTGTCAGCGCTGCTGCATTTTTGGGAGCCCCTCCATGTGCTGCGCTTTGTGCCAGCTCTGTCGGACTCTGTTTAATTGATTTAGGCAGGGCCGGGAGCCATCCACTGGTGCTTCTGGGTTTGGATCTGCACGGGCAGGCAGGGGCAGCAGGGTGCCAGCAGCCTGCATGGCTGTTTTCAGGAAAAGGAGAGAGGATGTGAAAGCACCCTGTAAGCACAGGGAGGAAAATCCAAGACACTTGAAGGTGCCATTTACCCTGACTTCTTGTTATACCTCCTGCCATTATACCCGATCGGGGGCCAACAAACGCATCCCCAGCTGAGGGCTGGCACACGGTGGAGGTGCCAGGGAGGGCAAGGAGATGGTTTCTCTACAAAACCCACCCCAGCTGCAGCATCCTCACTTGAGTGCTGTCTTGGCCAAACTCATGTGTCCCCTTCCACCACTCCAGACCCATGTGCACGCACCCTGGGTCCCCAGCCCGAGACTGCTGTGCTGGGGACACTTGGCCAGGAGTTTGGGGGCAGTGCTGGGGGTACCACATACCTTCCCCAAGGCTGTACCGCGGCAGCTGAGCCAATGGGCCCTCTTAACTGTGGGCACATGAACACGGCCGTCCCGCAGCAGCTGTCCCGCCGCAGGGCACATCACAGCTCTGGGTGAAGGGAGAAGCAGGTAAAAGCGTGTGGCCTGAAGCACTGGATGGTTTATCGCTTTCTCACGGCATGATTTTCTGACCAAGGCGACAGCAGAACAAAACATGGACTTGGTCGAAACCTCTGTGTCCAGGGTGTCCCACAACCATTGCCTTTCACTGAGGTTTCTCGTGCCCACCACCAGTGCCCTCCAGAAACCCCTCTCTCCCCCCACCACTGCTTCCCAGACCCTTTCACCATCTGCCCCATCCACCTCCTCGTCCTGCAGGCTCTTCACCTCTTGCCTGGGGTGGCCCAGGGAGCCCGGTCCTGGCCCAGCACTTCCTGGGGTGGTCCTGGCTGGTCCCCAGGCATGGCAAGCATCCCACAGCGGGTGCCTCCCCGTGGGGAGGGATGCCGGGGTCTGGCGGAGCAGTTGCTCCTCCAGGATGGAGAGGTCGGCTCAGAAGAGCCAGTTTTTCCACCAAGGCAGAAGTTCAAAGTCTCCGTGCTGCTTCGTTCTGGGAGATGGAAGTGAGGGAAAGGAGGAAATGGCGATTCCTGTTCGTGTTCATGATTGACACAGCTGACTGCCCAGTGTGACCTCCCAACTGGTCACAGAGGGACGGATGCATGAACACGCTCACACACCACACATGTTTATATTTATAGCCCATACTTTCAGCAACTCATTTTGTCCAAGTTCCTAAAGATGTTGCTCTTCATCTTGCTTTCGCTCTTCAACTTCAACCCATCTCTGAGCCTAAAAATCTGCTCCTTCAACGTAAGGTCTTTTGGAGAAACAAAAATAGCCAGACCTGAAGTCGTCGATGCCGTGGTAAAGGTACGTTCATTTGCCTGGCTAAGACAGACATTGAGCTGTCTGAGGATTTCTGAGCTACATAGTCTTGCTCTCTGTTTATTTTTCACAGTTGAATTTCAAGTAAAAAAAAAAAAAAGAGTTAATAATTTAACTAATTTTGTACTCTTAAAGTAAAAATCAGCCTGTGGTTGAGTAGGGTGTTTGCTGTTCTTTTAGCCTGCATGGGAATATAACAGAAACAGCATTTGCTGCTTCCTTTGGAAATGGTGTTAGGAAAGGAGGAAAACCTCTGTGCACAGTAAAAAATAATTCTCACTTTGAATCCACAGAGCTTTGTTTTGTGATACACTGTTTACCTTGCTTACGTGCTAATTATTCTGAAATATTCTTGTCTAATGAAACGTATTCTCAGGACAGCAAGGAGTATCATATTAGAGTGTTGTACAAAATTGAAAAGCCTGATTGCTAATTTATGTAAATAAACCCTCACCAGCAGGCTTCCTCTGCAGCAGCTGAAGGTAACTCAGCTTTTTAAAAGGACCATGTTTTGGACTTACAGCTTTTGCAAGTCCCTTCCGAGACGCCACAGTAACGGCGGACGAGGTGCTCGGTGTTAGTGGGACGGCTGCCTGTGCCAAACGGCAGCAGAGAGGAACACCACTGCTTAGTTGGGCTTTAGTCTTTTCGTCGCAAACAGTTGGAGAAGAAGGATTGTCTGGGGTTTGCATTTCTGGATCGTTCTCCCTACACTGTCAGCACTATGGGCGATATATACTAGATTATGGGCAATATATTAATTTCTTACAAGTTTCAGCGGGGAACAAAGGGGGCTTTTTTTCCACAAATATCACCCACAAAGTTCGAAGAGCAACAAAACCAGGAGCAGAAGGAAGCCCCTGAGCATGCCGGGCTGTGGGGTGAGCTGGGTTTTCCCACGGGGAATCCCAGCGCCGGCCGTGGGAGCCCAGCCAGGCTGGGGTTTCCCCCGCTCCCCAGCCCCCTGCGGCTCCTCTGCCGTGCTGCAGCCCACGGGTGCCGGGACCTTGTTTTCAGACCGGGGTTCGCTTTGGGCTCCACGGGCTATTTCAGAGGGGTCGGCAACAGATGACCGGGACAGGCGAATGCTGACAGCACACATGGCTGTCGGGAGGCACAGCATAGCGATAGGACCTTGAGGGTGTATACATCAAAAAAAGGATGAAAACCACTGCCCTGGGCTGATGCTACATCCTAACTGGCTCCCCTCGATGCCCCCCAAAACCTCCTGCCACATCCATCTGGGCACCCAGCGAGTTGGGATGCTTGTGCGCAGCACCGGTCCAAAGCAGGGAAGAAAAACCTACGTGGAGAGGGGCAGGGAGGAGAGAAAAGCACGACCTACCGTGGCGGGGGGGGGGGGCGAGGGGGGACGAACCACGTTTTTTTTGACGGGGAACGGCACCCCAGCAGTGGTGGGGGGAGAGCAGGCTCGCAGCAGCCTCTTCCCCTGGCTGCCTCTTCCCCTCCACACTTCCTCCTCAGGAGCAGGCATCCGAAAACAAACCCCAAACCGCTCTGCTCTCGGGTTCCCTCTCCCAGCTCCCGCGGGGGCGTGAGGCAGCTCTGAAAGCAGAAGGGCTTCGCTCCGGCCACTGCCCCCCCTCCCCTGACCCCAGGGCGGGTGTTGCTTCTTCCACAAAGGAATTCCCCCGCACCAGTAACCACTTCTTTCTAGCGTCTTTCTAATCCTCCAAAACCCGCCGCGTGCAAACTTGCTTCTGCTCCTTCCCCTTGCAGATCATTTCTCGCTGTGACATCATGTTGCTGATGGAAATAAAGGAGAACAAGAACCGTGTTTGTCCTCTCCTGGTGCAGAAGCTCACCAGGTAGGGTGGACATGGGCAAGCAGGCAAATATTGGGACAGATGGTTGGCAAGAGCCCGTGCTCTGCTCAGCACCGCTTTACCAGGGATAAAGCTCAGGGTCTGGGCTCCGTCCCAGCCGTCGAGGAAGAACCAGGCTCTGGGAGCACTGCTGAAGGTCAGGAGCAAAGCCAGCTCCAGACCAGTCTAAGACATGTATTTTTAAATCAAAATAAGATTCAATTTGTAAAAGATTAATTCTTGAAAGAAAGCAGAAGGGAGGGACAGGCCCTCACCTGGTGAGCACTGGCTGCGGTGGGGTTAGGAGTTGCTTTAGGCTGGGATTTTCCTGCATGGACTGACAGTCCAGAGGAACGAGCAGCGTATGCCTGGCTGGACCCAGATGACAATGACCCAGAGGCTGCAATAAGCAGGGTGGGGGTAGGGTGAAAGAGCCAGCGATGGAGCACAGGTCAAGACAACAGGTCCTGAGAAGGTTTTTTGTCCCTACTACCCATCTCTGAGGCCAGGCAGGCAACACCCCGTACCCTCAGGCACAGCCAATGTTATCTCCTCCTCAGCCCCTTGTGAATGTAGAAATAAACTCAGGAAAAACACTTTCCTTCCAGTCAGCTGAAGGGGCTGAAGGAGGAATACAACTGTGTGGTCAGCGAGAGGCTGGGAAGGAAGAGCTACAAGGAGCAGTACGCCTTCCTCTACAGGTGAGCGAGCCGCCCTCGCCGACGAGCCGGCCCCGCACCCTGTCCTCCCGCACCACAGCCCTGCGGAGACGGGCTGGACACGGCGGAGGTGGCTTTGTCCCGAGGGTGCCCGAGAGGCGCAGGCGGTGCGGGTGGGACAGGCTGTGCCCGCCTGTGGGGATCACCCCAGGCGCAGCCACCAGCCTGGCTGTACCCGTCCCAGACCGTGGCCCGGGCTCTGGGTCAGTGTTAGACATGTCCCAGTGAGCCACCAGCGTGACATCCCCTACCCTGTCCGTTCTGCTGCAGACAAGATCTGGTATCGGTGAAACAAACCTACCAGTACCCTGACGCCCAGCCTGGGGACGAGGATGCCTTCTCCAGAGAGCCCTTCGCCGTCTGGTTCCAGTCTCCAAAAACGGGTGAGAAGTTTCAGAAACAAATCACTCTCCCACTGGCGAGTCTCCCAGAGCACGATGCTGCTGGCTAGACCCGGGCGTGTGGTGGGGGCAGGCGAACGGCACCACATCCTTCCCCCACGCCGCATTTCCTTTTACAAGAGCAGCATTTGCCTTCGGGGCTGCTGCCTCTGGCATCGCCCACAGCTCGGTGCACGCCGCGGCCCCAGGAAAGCCTCTGCCATCCCCACGGGCAGTGGTTTGTGGATGTGCCCCGTGCCGCTGACATGGCCCCAGGAGCAACTATTGCTGCTGGTGCCAGAGCAGGGTTTGCCTTGCCCTGACGCAGCACCTCACCGCGCCGCAGCTCAGCATCCCGTGGGCAGCTGATGGGGAGCACTGTGCAACTACACAGCAATCGTCTCCAAAACGCAGCCAGAACAGAAGCTGTTTCTTCTTCAGAAAAGCCTTCTTGCTTCCAAGTCAATTTCTGTTTCTTCATGATTCAGCGTGTGTTTAACCATTACATTTTTTTTGCTGTTCTTTTGCCTTGTTTTTAAGCTGTCAAAGAGTTTGCTATAATCCCTCTGCACACCACACCAGAGACAGCAGTACGGGAGATTGATGAGCTCTATGATGTGTATTTAGACGTAAAACAGCGCTGGAAAACTGAGGTTAGTTGACACATCTACGTTACAAACAGCATCTTTGGTACTGAGTCAACTGGCACGCAATTTGCTATTCACAGCCTGATAACCTTAAAACTGTTGATAACAAGCCCCAGATTTTGCATATCTCTTTGATGTATTTTCATCGAGTTACCCACACTTTAATTGGTGAACTTAAGCTCCCAATAAAACCGCTGTTTTACCAGAATGCCTCGGTGGTGAGCCCAGCAGGAAGGAGATGCCCCACTGCACTCAATGAGTGCTCGCTGTTTGAGCTCTATGGGCTATTGGGAGCATCTGTTGACCCTAAAAGTCCTTGCGGGTCTTCTTTTGAAGAGCTGTCTGCATGATAACTTTTGAAAACCCTCCTACCTTCCAGAACTTCATCTTCATGGGGGACTTTAATGCTGGATGCAGCTACGTTCCCCAAAAGCAGTGGAAGAACATCCGGCTGAGGACTTACTCCGAATTTGTCTGGCTAATCGGCGACAAAAATGACACGACAGTGAAGAGAAGCACGAGCTGCCCATATGACAGGTAAAGGGTTCACTGCCAGACTGTTCCCTGTCTATGACTTTCCGAGAAAAAAAAATATATGAAAAGGTGTCAGTGACTGTCAGATAAAGCAAATGTGCCTGAGGCCTTCAAAGATAAAACAGTGTCCAGGGAGAAAGGAGATCTGGATACTTCTAGTCAGGAGCACAAAGCACTTTGCAGGCTGGTTGGCAAGAAGTTTTGCAGAACGGGCAAGATTTCATGCAGGAACTAGCCGTTATTGTGATTTAGGTGGAGATAAATGACAGGCAATTATGCAGGACTTCTCGTCTGCAGGGAGCCCTGCAGGCACCCAGGTGGAAGGTGCTGCTGTCTCCTCCGTGCTGGGTTTGTGCCATGGTTTTTTCTCTTGCATTCGTAATTTGGATTGACAAATGCAAAATCGAGTTGTGCTCAGGAGATGGGACACCTCGCCTTTCCCGGGCACGTGGCAAGTATGGCTGCTACCTGCAGCTCCCTCAGCAGCGACAACAAATACATCAGCTGATAAGAGCCCAGAGTAAGTCAAGACTTAACCCTCTTGCAGAATGAGCTTCTGGATCAAAGCAGGGCTTCACTGAGACTCCAGTCATTGGTGTCCTATGATTTTTCTATCCAAAGTATAGCTTCGAACTTTGCAGCACTGTTGGGGTGGGTTTGGATACAAGTTATTTAATGTTGGCTTCCATGGCCAAGACACACCGAGGGATTTAGGTGTCTTACTCCCAAGGACAGCAATCAGCCAAACTCAGCAGAAAGCAGATGCATGCTGGCATCTCTAAGTAGGCAGCCCATGGGAAAGGACAAACCATATGCAGCTGTGACTCCATCAAGGCCACCTCTCTGGCCACCAGCTCAGTGCCACTAGTTGGGCACCGCATAACAGCACCTCATTCCCTTGCTCCTTGCAGGATCGTGGTCAGCGGGCAGAAGCTCGTCCACGCTGTCATGCCACACTCTGCCAACATTTTCGATTTCCAGAAGGACTTTCAGATGACGGAGGAGCAGGTAGGCACAGCGTGGGCTCTGCAGCAGTGGGGCAAGGGCTACCACAGGAGCACAAAGCCAACAGTATCCAGGCAGTTTTGAACATGGTCTTGTCCATAAAATCGTTGCATCCTCCCAAAGTGATGTAACGCTCGCAGTGCACATCCACCTCCCCACTGCCAGGGTGAAACCCCATGGGGCAGGGTTCGGAAAGAGCTGGCTCCCAACCCCTCTGTGCCCTTGTCTTGCAGGCGCTGGGGGTGAGCGACCACTTCCCTGTAGAGTTTGAGTTAAAAACAAAAGGCGGCTTCTTCAACTGGCTGAAATCACAGTTTTCAAAGAGGAGACGACCAAGAAAGAGCCGCCGCTTGAGCTCATGAGCGTGCTGAGTCCTCTCACATGGCGTGGAAATACATGGATGCCAACAGATCTTGTAGAAGACTAGTGTAGATATACTCACAGCAAGTGCATTATTTAGTGGAAAAAACCCACAAATATTTTGTTAAAAGTTCAAATACTTTGGGTAAGAAGGTAAATTAAACATTCAGGTTATTTTCCTCGTTGCATGCAAAAATAAATCAGCTAGAAGCAACATACTATACTGACTGTACTGATCACGAACGTCATAGCTACTGCAAGGCTAAAATACTTTTGTGTATGTTATCTGTAACACCTGAAGGGCAGGGATCTCCACGCGTTTGCACGGGCTCTGGAGCTCTGCCATTCCTTCGCAGGGGCAGAGGGATTAAAAGGACCTTTCTGCATCGTCTGTGTGTGTGTGTGTGTGTATTTTTCAGAGCTGCAACCGGTGAGACACAGGCCTGTGCCTGGTGATTTGCAATGCAAAATGTTGCTGAACTTAAGAGCATTTACTTGGTGGGGGGTTGAAACTGCTCACAGTATCGAGCGCTTGAGGAAAGACAGAAAGAAAAGACAGAGGGACGGGCAGTCAGAGCACCTTTTCTGCACTGACCCACCCAGGGAGCAGGAGGAACAGGGAGCTGGTGGTTCCCACCCCTGCCAGCTGCCCTCACCCTGCCCGCAAACCTCAGGTGAGAAGTCCTGCGGATCCCAGCTGACAGTGCTGCCAACAGAGAGCATCAGCAAAACTTAAATTAAAATCTGATTTCAGCATCCAGACGTGGAAGTGAGCTGCATCTCCATCCCCCCGCACCCCCCCTTAAAAAACCTCCATGGTTAAAAACCTCCTGAAGTTCTCCGATGAAGCAGACTTTAATGATGGTTATTTAACGTAGTGGTGCAGCAGTCTGTTTTCTCAGCTTAGCCCACAGGCTGTATTTAGTGCAAACCAAACCCTGTCACACAGATGGCATCTGAGAAGTGGGAACAATCCAACTGTTAGTAGAAGCAAATATTCATCTCCCTTCATCAACACCCCCCAGTTAGTCTGCAGACGGGGCAGGGAGGGCTACAAACGAGATACACTTTTAGAGGAGAAAAACAGTTTGGCCTTTGCGAAACTCACTGTCTGGGGAGAAAGAACTTGAGGAAAGAAACTAAATCGAGAGGGGATTATCCCGGTGGGGTGCATGCAGGGCAGACAGCAAATCCTCCAACTTTCAGTAGCAATTAATCTTGAAACGATCCAGCATTTCATAAGCTCCCTCAGTTATACTCCAGTCAAGGCAAAAGGAAAGAGCCTGATTTAGAACAAATATTTACACTGGGATTTTTATAGAAATGCCACTGTCTGGCTGACAGCAGCAGTAGCTCATGTGAAGGTTGAAATCAGTGTAAGTCTCTGGCCTCACATCATGGTCCTACATAAGTCCCTACTCTCCTTCAGCTTTCAGAAAGAAGCAATGCACAAAGGAATAAATCACACTCCAGGAAAGCAATGATGGATACATTCAGTCATGAAAAATAGGTAAATACAACTAAGTTTTGCTGAAAAAGCTTCGTCCTTATTTGTGACATTGAGTATAACCCCTTATCAAGCATCTGAAGATAAGAGATGTGGCCAGAGAGTGGCTGCTGCAGCGGCTGCAGCCTCAGGCGTGATGTTAGCCGCTGTCGGTCCGGAGATGCTTTTGCAGAGAGACTGAGCATTTGACCGGCAGAGAGACATCTTCGTGCAAAATGATGCTCCTCCCTGGAGAGCTGGGATGCACTTTTGTGAGACTCAAAGCAGACAGGCAGCATCTGCGCTCAGCTCCTAACGCTTGATAGGGGCTGGGAGGTGTCCAAAGCTCGTACAGTGACCATTGGTCTCTATAGATAGTCCTGTGTATATTCCATACAGCCATTAGACAATATTATAATTACACCCTAAAATGTTTCACAGTTCACGACATCTCTAGATTTTTCCCCATCAGGGCATCATTACACAGCTGTCCCAACTGCAAAGGGGGTTTTAAGTTGTTCCAGCCTGCAGGAGCCTCCATGTATTCTGCAGCAAGAACAAAGTTTCTCTTTCTATGAATGAGGCTTCTTGAGCTTGATGATCAAACAGAAGTTTTACAATGGGAATCTGAAATGGCCTGAGAGACTTTGTCTCATGCAAGACAGGTCTCAGATGATGGCTGGGAGAGAAACAAAGAGGCTCTTCAGAAGCTGAAAACGCTGTTTCCTCCACAGCAGCTGTGGCCAGGCAAGAACACAGAGCAGATAGGGTTCAGCTGAACAAAAGGTGCTAAGACCCCAAATCCCTCCTTGGGTCCTTGCAAAGCCCTTCTCCAATGCGTGATGCTGGAGGCATCCTCGCTTCCCCCAGACCTGAATTCTCGACACCCTCATGAAGACCACCCCCTTCCCAGCCCCACAGGAGGTCCCTGCTGTCCTGCGCGAGGGATGGAGCCAGGGTTGTCCCTCGCCCTGCGGAAACCCCCATGAGTATGGCTTTTGCTGCCCTGGGGGAGTGAGTCCCTTGGCAGGGAATCCCCACAGCAGCAGTCCGAGGCAGGACTGCCATTTCTCCATAGCCTCCATCATCTCTACTGGTTAGGTTTGTCCATCTGCACCTTGGACTCATCTGAACAGGGCTTGTGTCCTCTTCCTGGCCTTGGCACTGCGCGCCACTAACCACCAAGGTCCCCAACACCTCTCTGTCTGTGCCACAGGGCAAGAGACCCTTTGGCCCTGGGCAGGGCTCTGCGTAGCTCCTTTAGCCTTGTTTTAGGTACTAGCAGCAATGAGGACACAGAAGAGCTGGTACAAACCCCCACAGGGACCCACCTGGGTTGTTTGCTCAGAGTCTGTGTATGCCCAAACGCAGACCAAGGCAGCATGCACTGCGACTAAACACTCAGTGCTAGGGAAATACTAAGAAATTATATATAGACCACCATCAATCAGACGAATGTGCTGGGATGTGCTGTTTAACAAACTCCACAGAAGGACAGGGGTCAGCAGGACCGGGGACTGTCCCCTCCCTGCATCAGGGCAAGTATCCCCAGGTCTGAAGCCCTTTAGCATGTCAATACTCAAGTGTGGCCCAGCCTCTCTTATTTGGATTTACATCGACATTTGCTTTGCTTTCCTGAAAGTTTAACTGTGCACAAATATACATAGACATGAACAGTTCAAACCTCAACACCCTCCAAAGCTCCTGCTGCTTCCCTGCCGCATGGGCGATGGGTGAACAGAAGCAGGTGCCAAAGCCACCACTGACGGGGTTTGGGCTGTGACCCATATGCATCCTCTGTCTGGACATACAGAAGTACACGTGTACAGATGTATGGCCACATACAGATGTGCAGCAAGCAATTGAGCTGCAGCCCCAAGAAAGGCTGTGTTGCGCTATCACACAGCAGGGCCGGTAGCACCGATAGCAGTATCAAAGGCAGAAAAATCAAAGAGCCTACCGGTGTGGGACTGCCGAAACCAGCAGTTTGTCCAAGCCTGGTTGCTTTACGGCTCCATCAGCATCTGGAGGTATCACGGGGAGCAGCTTGGTGCCCCAGGCTGGGCTTGATGCCACAGCACAGAGAGCAAACAGAGCTGTGGAAAAACACGATTTCATCCTTCGCTGGGAGCTCACAGATCTGCGTCCCCATATGCGCCTCTGTACAGCGCTTTTCCCGGCTGCGCGCTGGCCCGCAGCTGGTCCACATCTGGCCCCGGGCTCGCTGTGGGTGTACACGAGGTTTGCAACGAAAAGGCAGCATGTTTTTTTGGCTCCAGGCCTGTTTATTCATTGCCTGCAGTTATTTAACGAGGAAACACGCTGCGATGACCTTTACCGAGACTGCTCCCCTTGCCACCAGCGAGTCCCGGGACCGGGCACTGGTGGGTGATGGGGCACCATGTCCACCCCGGTGGACTCTCCGGTGTCCCTCACCGCACCCGCACCCCTGCTGCTTGAGTTCAGCTGGGATCATGGCCTTCCCGGCCCGCCTGGCGCTTCGGGATGTCTTTCTGTGACTCCACTTCTGCCCTTTGAGGGTTTGTACCTGGTTTGGGGATTGATGCAAGGCTGCTCCGGCACGAGTGGCCCCATCCCCTCTCTGCCCTGCCTGCCTGCATCAGACGCTCCTGAAGCCTTTCTCTGGCACCGGGGGAAACTGCAATGTGGATTGGGGTTTCCTTCTGCAACCCCCGGGGCCAGATTTAGCCCATGTCCCTCTCTGCCATCCAACAGGTTAAGTGACACAACCTCTCCACTATCACCTGGTGTAAGACTATGAACGCCCTCTCTGTGCGGTCTGGTCTTCCAGGCAGTGCAAAAAACCAAGGTTAAATACTTCAAGTGTCATTTTAAATATAGTGCCTCAGCTGTCGGTGTTTGCAGGGTATTTTCTGAAGGCTGAAGACAGATTTATAGGAATTAATCTCCATATTGGCAAAGGAACCAGAAACCTTCGCTGAAAAGCTCTGCACATCCCGGCATTTGAGACATGACCGCTTTCTGTGCGTCTCAGTTGGGAGAGGGGCCTGACCCCAGCCGTTTTCAGTAAAGCCAGATGCAAAATCCCACCCCCCAAAAAAATACCCTAGCAGGACATCACTGTCAGAAAGAAATACCCTCCCGGCTCCTCCACAGGGCTCGAAGGAGTCACAGGCTTCCAGTAAGCATGGATGTAAATATTTGCAGTACCAAGGTCCTGCAGAAAGGCAGTTCATCACAGGAAAGAGCTGTCAAACATACCTCTGGGTCCTGCTAAATCATATTTTGCCTATCAATTTTTTTTAAAAAGCATTGCATATATTAGCCATTCATTCATGTTATACAAAGAATGTGCTTTAAATCCTGGTCAAATTAACAGTGACATGAGCTATAAATCCAGCCTGATTTAGTGACAGTGTTTTTGCTAAGCATGCAATATAAATTCACTACTATGAAAATTAACTCTGAAAGTCTGAGAAATTCTGAAAAGCCGTTTAAAGGCATTTTCCCAGGAGGCCCTGGGGAAACAGCCCT